TCGGTGAGACACTAATATCACCCCCCCCCCACCCTCGAGCCTCCCTGTCCGCTGTCTTTCTCTGGCAGTTTGCTCTGAGCAGTTGGTAAAAGGGAGTTCGTTCTGCAAAGGCCGGGGGGCGGGGGGGGGGGGGGTTCGCTGCAGTTTAGCTCCAGTTTCTGACACGCTCTTTCGCTTAAAATGTGAGTAACTGGGACCTCAGTCTCTCCCCCTGAGCCCCCTGGCAAGGACCAGCCTGAATCCTTTCACATCCTGCATTCCCCAGCCAGAGGGGCGACTTTCTCAGCTACTTCGTGCATCCTTTCAAATACACACAGCGCCCCCCCCACCTTTGCTGAACCTACCTTTAAATCCAGGGACATTAATCGGTTGGTTCCTGACACAATAATCGGGCACAGTTTCTCCTCTCTCTCTCCTCCTGACACCGATAACACCTCCACCAGATCACAAGGTGAAATGATCCACTGGAAAATCCCCGAGGGGCTGAGAGAACCACCTGATCCTCAAGGAGGTGGATCCCGTTGCCGGCAGGCAGGGATCCGGAGAGATCTTTCCCCGGATCCCAAGACAGGTTCAAATGACAAAAGTGTTGCGATTGAAATCGCCAGCCAAAGAGAGAGAGAGAGACACTGTGTGCCCCTCTGACAGTCCTGCTGTTCACTCTCTGTCTCTGTGTGTGTGTGTGTGTGTGTATCTCCAGCCGCGAGGCCTCCCACTGCCGAATAGCCAAGGCGGCAAACGCGTCCCCTGCGCCTCCCCGACACGCACCAAAAGCGATCCATTGCAGACAGAGAGAGAGACAGTGTGGGAACTCGGAGCCAGAGGGACACACACACGCAGAGCTGAGAAAGTGCACAGTGATAAACTGTGTGGACAACATGAAACCAGAAAAGACGGGGAGATGTCAAACAAAACTGTTAAAATAAAGTAAAAAAGTGGGAATTATGGCAAACCGTTTCTAAAGTTACAGCTAAACAGACACTTTTACTCGGAGTAACAATTGTTATTTTACCGGATTTACACGGAGCAGGTTGGACTGATGTTCGAGGAGATAAAACCTTGAACAAGGAATAAAAGCAAAGTAGAAATAGCCCCAGAACAGGAGTTATTTTGTTTTAGAGCCGGCGCTGCTGAACAATGAAAATGTAAATGTAGCCAGACTCTCTCTCAGAGCACGCCTGGTTGCTAAGACACTGGAATGTCAGCAGGCGAGCCCCATCCCCTGTACCGGCTCTTCCCAATCCCCACACACAGCCTCGGCTGCGTTACCTTTCTCACCCGGCAACCCAGAGGCTGAGGCTTCACACTGCAAAACTGAGTCAGGAGTTACACTAGGAGTTACACTAGTTACACGGTCGGGCCTTCAGTGACTGTGCAGAAACTGGGAGTGTTCTCAGAGTAGAGCAGGTTAAGGGGCGACATTTGACAGAGCTGCTTAAAATTACCCAGTACCCATGAGGGTAAAGTGTTCGCAGTGACAGGAGGGAGAGTCAGTCAGCAGGGGAAAACAGGGGGCTCAGGAGTTTTGGGGCGGGGGGTGGGGTGAGACAAAGACTAATGTTTACACACAGTGAGTGTGATCTGGGATCACGTAAGCATGTGCAAAAGGAAGATTGGGGAAATGGTGGGAAATTATTTCCAGCACACTGAAGAAAGAGCAGGGAGGAAGGAGAGTTAATTGGATCATTCTTGCTTTGAGACAGTATAGGCTCGATGGATCAAATGGCCTCCTGTGCTGTAAGATTGGGTGACTCTATAACTGTAGGTAGACAAACCCATCCTGGGTCCCTAGGTTGGTGTGTGCTGAGCTCTCTGTGTGACTGACTGGGTCAAGAAGAAGACATCAAGTTCTGGAGATGGGAGATGTTTTTATCCACTCCCAGTTGATGGGCATTACTGACAAGGTTACTGTTTACATATTTATTGAGGTAGTTACAAAATGAGTTGTGAGGGATGGTGCCCCAACTGGGAGGCTATAATTGAGAATATACTGTACAGTGCGGGCCTATTTCAGTGGGAACTACCAGGCTGAGGGGGTAATCATTTAGAACTCTCTAAAATTATTTATATTGTTGCGTACTGATACAGAAAAAATGCTTCCTCTGGTAAACAATTCCAGAAATTGGCTGCCATCAATGTTATACAGTCACGGATAAATCCACTGGGGAATTCAGGAGAATCTCCTTCACCTAGATTGGGGGGGGGGGGGGGGGTGGGGGGGCGGGGGGGGGGTAATGCGGGACTCACTCCCACAGGGAGTGGGAGTGGGGGGGAATGTGGGAGTCGCTCCCACGGGGAGTTGGGGTGGATTGTGGGGAGAGTGTGGGAGAGAAAGGAAGAGAGGAGGAGGATGGGAGGTGGAGGGTAGTGGGAGAGAAGGAAAGGGCTGGAGGAGAGCGGAGAAGAGTGTAAGTGGGAGGTAAGAATGAGAGTTGGAGGGAGGTAATTGGGGAAGCCGAGGAATGCTGCAGTGTTGTAGGATGTTCTGGCTGCCTTTCCCATTGCCCCTTGTCCAATCCACATACTTTGTGCTTTTCTTTAATGGAGTATCTTTTCCCAATGCATGATTCATCAGCATATTCCTAGTACCACCCACAACCCCATGCTAGCGCGATCTTATATTTTAAACTCATTGTAAGGAACAGGGAAAACAGAGACAAAATGTTTCTCTCTCCACAGACATTGCCAGATCTGCTGAGTTTCTCCAGCACTTTCTGTTTTTTTTATTTCCAGCATCCGTCATATTTTAATCCTATTACAGTGACAATTATAATCGGTCTGTACATTAATTTGCAGCTTAGTGTTTCTGGTGACTTTCAGATAGCCTAGTGTTTATAGTGGGTGCTGAATGAGGTTAGAATTGTAACTCAGAGTCTACTGCAGTCACCTGATGATCTGTCTGGCAATGAAATTTACAATTGGTTATAATTGCAGCTGTTTTCCCAGATCTTACAATCAGGTTTAAATTATTTGTCCTGTAGAAGTTGCTGCATTCTAGTTATTTATTTCCTGTTTGGAATAAATTTTGGCGCCTCAGACCTTTGGCACAGTGTGGTGCTAACTCTCACCTTTCTCTATCGCAGTGCTCCACCTGGTGGTACCATTAGCAATACATGCAGCCTTTCTTCAATTGAGAGATCCCACAGTTGTACTCGGTGTCCCGTAACACTCATGCAGAGATTGCTCTATAGTGTTGACCCTGGATGACCATTCCACACTTTGACTATCTTTACGTGTCACACCTCACTTCACTTCTTTACCCAACCCTGTTAGAGAAGCTTCTGAAAAGCCCCTGTTTTCAATCACTGCAACGGAAAATCTATTGTATCCCCCAGGGCTGATGCTCTGGTTCCAGATAAATCATCACTGCCCAAGTGACTCTAATTTGTAGAACATTGGTGTCTGAGAAGCAATTGGGCAAAAGATTTTCTTTTAAAATTTTGCTGACAAGGATCACTGGTTAAGGCCAGCATTTATTGTCCATCCCTAATTGCCCTGAGGGCAGTTAGAGTCAATCGCATTGTTGTGGGTCTGGAGTCACATGTAGACCAAACCAGGTAAGGATGACAGTTTCCTTCCCTGAGTGAACCACATGGGTTTCTACAATAATTGACTATCCTTGCCTTTCCAAATGCATATAGATCCTGTCTCTCAGATCCCCCTCCAACAAATTACTCACCACTGACATAACAAGGTGTAGAGCTGGATGAACACAGCAGGCCAAGCAGCATCAGAGGAGCAGGAAGGCCATAGTTTCAGGCCTAGACCCTTCTTCAGACCCACCACTGACATCAGGCTGACCAGTCTGTAGTTTCCTGGCTCTTCCTTGCAGCCTTTCTTAAATAATGGCACCACATTAGCCAACCTCCAGTCTTTCAACACCTCACCCATGTCTGTCAATGATGCAAATATCTCAGCAAGGAGCCAGCAATCACTTCCCTAGCGTCCCACAAAGTTCCCTTAAAGCTTAGGATTTTTAATTCTCTTTGGGGACATGGGTGTCACTGGCTGGATCAGCGTCTATTTCCTGTCCCTTGCGAAGATGGTGGTGAGCTGCCTTCTTGAGTTGCTGCAGTCCATGTGCTGTAGGGTTGACCCACAATGCCCTTAGGGAGGGAATTCTGGGATTTTGACCCAGTGACAGTGAAGGAAGTGAGATGGTAAGTGGCTTGGAGGGGAACTTGGAGGGGAGGTGGGTTCCCATGTATCTCCAGTCCTTGTCCTTCTAGATATAAGTGGTCGTGGGTTTTGATCTGTCTGAGGATCTTTCATGTACTTGTTTAATCATGGACTTTTATGATAATAAATGTTTACGTTCTCCATTTACCTAATGCTTAATCATAATTATTGTACTATTTAATTACAATAATCACCGAATCTAACTATGTCTGATAATGTTTCTGAAAAGCACCTTGGGCTGTTTTACAATATTAAAGGTGCTGTAGAAATGCACGTTATTGCTGTTTTCCTTTCTAATTGGGTCTTTTCTACTTAAGAAATACACATATTATATTACACAAAACCTTTCTACCTTTCAACCCGAAAGAGAAACAGTGACATCATGGTACTGCCACTGAATTAGGAACCCAGAGGCTCACGTTAATGTTCTGTAGGATGTGGATTTGAATTCTACCATAACAAGTAGTGAAATATGGATTTAATAAAAATGTGTAGTAAAGAGTTAGTGTAGTGGGGACACTGACACCATCATCATAGTCAACATGGTTTTGTGTGTGGATGTCTCATTAACTTAAGTAAGCTTTTTGAAGAGGTGGACAAAGAAGATGGATGAAGGCAGAGTGGTAGACATTGTCCGTAAGAGCTTCAACAAAGCATTCAACAAGGTTCTGCATGGTAGACTGGTTGGATGACATGGGAACCCCCAAGAGTAGACAGCTAATTGGATATAAAAATGTCTCGAAGGCAGGAAACAGTTGGTGGTTGAAGGGGTATGCTTTTCGAACTGGAGGCCTGTGACCAGCGGTATGCTACAAGGATCGGTGCTCGGTCCACTGCTTTTTGTCATTTATATAAATGATTTGGATGTGAATATAGGTGGTATGGTTAGTAAGTTTGCAGATGACACCAAAATTGGAGGTGTGGTTGACAGTGAAGAAGATTATCTCAGAGTACAATGTGATCTTCATCAGATAGGCTGATGGGCTGAGGAGTGGCAGATGGAGCTTAATTTAGATAAATGTGAGGTGCTGCATTTTGGAAAGGCTAACCAGGGCAGGACTTATACACTTAACGGGAGGGCTGTAGGGAGTGTTGCCAAACAAAGAGACCTAGGGGTGCAGGTGCATAGTTCCTTGAAAGTGGAGTCACGGGTAGATAGGGTGGTGAAGAAGGTGCTTGGCATGGTTGCCTCATTGATCAGTGTGTCGAGTACAGGAGTTGGGAAGTCATGTTGCAGCTGTACAGGCCATTGATGAGGCCACTTTTAGAATACTGTGTACAATTCTAGTCGCCCATCTATAGGAAGGATGTTATTAAACTTGAGAAGGTGCAGAAAGGATTTACAAGGCTGTTGCCGGGATTGGAGGGTTTGAGTTAAAGGGAAAGTTTGGATAGGCCGGGACTTTTCTCCTTGGCATGGCAGAGGCTGAGGGGTGACCTTTACAGAGGTTTATAAAATCAAGAGCATGGATAGGATAAATAGCCAAGGACTTTTTCCTAGAG